AATGAGAACAGAGTACTGTAACTCAACAACACCAACTAAACAAACATGCACTACATTGACTCCAGTAGCAGGTCTCATAGAACAATTTCTGAGTCAGTAACAAAATTTACTTTTGCAAAAGTGCGAGCAAGGATGTCGGGTGCACGGTGTAGAATGATGAAGGGAAAATAGCAAACCCTTCTTTGATTTGATCCTTTGGTTTCAGCTCTCTCGCTTACTCAGAAGCTAACCTTTCTTTTTTCTATTATTTTGGGTCTATATATATCTGACATTGACCTGAAGACTAAAGATTCGACTTCTTAACCTGACCTCTTTCTTCGTAACTAACCTCCAACTCCATTACTGTGTACTGTTAACCCACCTGTCAGGACTCAGGAGACGGCTACGATCCAAAACGACCTTCGCAGGCACCAGCACGCTGTTTATCAGAAGCTGCCACCGTGACCCGGCAGCTTGCTCGGTGCAGTCGATGTCAAGCTCCGTGGGCGTCAACCAACCAGGACACTTATGTAGTAGGCGTCTTTGAGCTCCTGCAGCTTGTGTAATTTCCCACGCAGAGGTTTGGGTGCCCTGAGACTCCAGGAGCCGGCGGTGCCCGGACTGCACTGGAGATGCTCGATGTCGATCGCTGAATGCAGGGGACGGAGCAGAGGACCCTCTGCTTGGTCCAGCGGCCGGCCACCGATACCGCATCCGCAGCCCCAGGGACAGGATCGACGATGCTTGTAGCTTCCAATGAAACTGATGAGATAAACATGCTGCCATGTTCATGTATCATTCCATTCAGTTTCACTTGGCACACATGAACGAAAAAGGTATAAGGCATAGGCACAAGACGAGAGAAATAAAAGACTTACATGAGGGGGAGAGACACTGTAACATCCATCCAGTAAAAAAATAATTTATTTGTCTTTGGGCCTAATGGGCTTGGAGAAGGAGAAAGCAAAGGCCCAATTAGAGTCCAGTTAGGAAGGTTAAGGGGTTAGGAAACAAAAAATAGAAATTCTACCGTAACCTCTCCCGTCTCCCTGCTACAGGTCGATCCAATCTTCCCGGTTTCACGAGTGGTCGGAGGCGGCGCTCTCCATCTCGTCCTCCCCATCGCTAGGGCACGCCATCCTGCAGGTGCGTGAGATTTTTCCTCTACGAATCGCCAGAGAGAAAGGGGGCTGCTGCTGCTTCTCATGGCTCTGTCCTTCCTTCGTTATCTGCAGAGTTGTGGTGTGCAGGGAGGACAAAGGGCAGGGTACGTAGCAGTCCAGGGATGAGTGTGGCTTGAAGGACGATTTTGCTTTATAGGTAATTGATAAGTCGATTTCCCTTCTATTGCTCACGTGTAGCCTCTGGTTTGGGTCTGGGCACCAGAAAGGAATAAACAGAGATCATGTTTAGGTTAACTGAGTAGATCAGATCAATTTCGTTTTTATCTCCTTCTTTCTGTTTCTTCTTTAGATGAACCATAGGTTTGAATCAGAGGTCTGTAGACTACTACTTTATCTACGATATCAGAAGTGTAGCAGTTGAATATCTAAGAACATGTGGATTTTCGAAGTTACTGTTGCAAACTGTTTCAGATCTGAGTGAAAACATTGTGGCTCAGATTACAAATAGAAGAAGGCCGAATTAGATTTTGTGGTGCATAACAAAGTTGTAGGGAATTTTAAGTAGATGTTTTTACTGCATTCGATCATTGCATTTGCTGTTGTATAGAAATAGTTATGAAAATAGCAAGTTCTGCTCTGAGTTTTGTATTTGACTGTCTTGCAAGGTGAATTCCTTTTAAGGGTATCTTTTGCAATTAGAAAATGTGGAGAGTGATGGACTAAGCATAGAGACGTGTATTTACTCTTAATATGTTATGCATGATTTATTGAGTAGATCCATATATTTATTTTTATCAGGAAGTGCGCGCAAATAACCGCTCTTAGACGTGCTTGTCGAGGTTGTTTTTTTTCGTGAAAAAGGCAAGTAACGTAGGGGTGTGGCTAATGCTATGCTTATATTCATGTCTTGCATTCTTTTTAAATAAAATACAACAAGACTAATAATATAGTTTACCTTTATTCTTGCTTATGTATATATTGTTTATGGATTTATTTATCATGTCGATGCTGCTTGTTGCTATGAGATGATGGTTGCAGATTATTATATTATAATTGTTGCACTATGGAGTTATGCATACATGATCATTCATATGCATATATATGCATTTCATATGGAGTTAATGGCGGTCACCGCCATCGCAGATGAGTGACTAGCACCGGTACATGGAGTTGCATGAGAGGTTGGCATTGTCCAACATTAAACTCTCAAATGGAGTTGCATCATGGCATATATATACATTTTATGCCATTTGCGAATATGGAATTGCAGATTATCGATCCATTTGAGTGGTTGGTTAATGGTTGACATAAGAAAGTTGAGTACTTCAATTATTCATCGCCCCTAACATGGTTCCTTTTCGGTTTAAATCTTGTTAATCAAATACTTGATGTTTTGGAGAATATCAATACCATGATGACGTGGTACTCTAGTCCTATGATAATGTTTGAAAGTCGCCACAATATGAACTGCACAATTTATTTGTCCGTTTACTTTCCTTATAATTATGGACGTTCATATGGCTTTTCAAAATTAATAACTCAACACGTGTAAGATATGTGTATATTCATAGCCGCTGCATGTTGAGTTTATCTCACCCCCTTTGTTCTCTTCCCAGGTGATTAATGATGAATGCTGGCATGAAGGGGATGGGACTAGCAACACGTCTTGCACTCTTGTATCATAACATAATAATTGTAGAATTATGAAATAATAAAGATAGTAGATGTTATCTTTTGTATTTTTAAACATAATAATCCTGCGTCTCTCCTCCCCTTGTATAGTTTGCTTGTTATACCACGTGTATCTTCTTATTTACATGTTTTTTTTCCGCTTGCGTTTGTCTTTTATTTAGAGGTTGTCGAAAACTACGAGTTCAGCAACTCTGTAGAGTTGTGTGGTAGCATACCAGGGTTGCGTGCTACCTGGGATGTGACAGAGACAGAGGCAAGGCTCCTGTCATTCGCTAGCTGACAGCTCAGAGCCGTGTGATGACAATTCAATGGTTGATGATCCCTGATTACAAGGTAATTTGGTTGGCAAATGTTTGGCTCCAAGCATCACTCCTGTATGGCAATCAGCACTTCGAAATGCATCTTGCCACAAATCCGACCGACATCCTTCTAGTTGAATCAGTCAGATGCATCTGGACACAGGTGTGGCCTCATTTCAGTTAAGTTGTTGAATGCATCTGGCACTAGAAGGCTCCAAAGCTGTGGAAGAAACCAAATTGGCATGAATGAAATTAGATTGTAGATTTATCTGATTTTTGGCCTTATTACACCCAAAAGCAGCATGCCAGCATACAAAACTGATTTTGATCTCATCAGTAGGCAGCAGCAATGCTATTTTCTTCCGCCTGTTCGACACCAAAGCGACACCTTAACATGTCGCAGGAGACCATGGAAGCTTCTCATCCATCTTTGCCTCTGCCGACAACCACAGCTCCACCAGAACAGAGGATCCTCTACCAACCCAGGCGCAGAGCAGAAGCGTCTATCCAGGAAAACATTTCGACCTGTTTCACCCATCTTTTTTAAGAATATATTGTCACAATAAAATAGTATTATGTCAGTTTTTCATGGACAAAGTTTCACAAGTGTCCAGTTTTTGTTTGACATTTGAGAAAAATATTATGGTTTCTGGATTGTGTCTGCTATTTGTAAATTCAGTGATCAAAAGATATTTTTTCCACTGCCCACCTCTGAGGTTTCAATAGCCATTGAGATGTGGGAAAAGCAAAGAGCACAAAATTTGCATTGTCGCATGATTTTCAGCTGTCATGGGAGGACTGAAACCATTTACTGCCGAACTTGCTTTCCTAAGAGTGCAAACTGTTTGACTAGAAAAATCATACACAGCATCCATATTTCAGTAAATCTTCTGAGATTGAAACAACAAGGCTGGAGTATATTAAACATATTCACTTGATCGAAAACATATATACTGTTATTGTTACACAAAAAATAGAAGGCATTAATAAGGGAAAAGTGCATAAATAATCGAACAAGCATCAAATCAGCAAGTAAGCAAACATTCTGAGTATGTAAAGGGTGGGAGGCACGTGCAGAGGTATTCATTCTTTAGAATTCAGAATTGTAAATATATAAAGAGAGAATCCGAAGGATAGAATAATGGACAATATGAAGAAGTGCCCTGCATAGTAGATGAAAACAAGCGGGTTGCACTATTATGCATTATTGGATTGCAGGGGAATGAGTATATACAATTATGTTCAACGTAAACAGAGCATACTTTATGAAATGTGGTTATTACCTTGCCTAAAAGACTAGAAGTAGAGCAATCATATTTTCTCAGATCCAAGAGACATGGGAAGGCTGAAACCATTTATTGCTGAACAGGCTTTCATAAGAGTGCAGACCATTGATTAGAAAAAAAAAACATACAGCAGCATCCGTATTTCAATAAATCGTCTGAGATTCAGAACTGCAAGGCAGGAGTACATTAAACATATTCACCTGATCGAGAACGTATATAGGTTATTGTTACACACAAAACAAAAGGCATTAATAAGTGCATAAATAACTGGGTCAAGCATCAAATAAGCAACATTGTGAACATGTAAATAGCTGTATGACAGTATGAGACTACAGAGGTGGTTTCACAGGCACTTACCAGTTTGATGTATAGGGTGGAAGGCATGTGCAGAGATTATTATAATTGAAAATTGTGAATAGATAGAGAGAGAATCCAGAGGACAATAATACACAATATGAAGAAATGCCCTGCACAGCAGATGGAAACAAGCGGATTACCTAGAAGAAAACATCAATTGTGGCCAAATAAACGAAACAAGAATGACGGAGGTTTATGGGGTTAGGGAGAAGCAAGGGAAATTGATGGGTGGGAAGTTCCACCTCTTTGTTACCTTGGGTTTGTCAGACTTCGACTATTGGAATGATATTTATCAACTTGCGGCACTGTCTCCTTAGCTCCTCGCTTCCGCTTTCACGGACATTTAAATATCGCAGGGAGCTTGGAAGGTCATCCACCTTGGGCAGTGACTGGATTTTTGGACATTCTCTGATATACAACTCTTGCAGTGAACTTGGGAGGCCCTCCTTGGGCAGCATCTGGATTGCTCCGCACGCCCAGATGTGTAACCTCTTGAGGTTGGGATGTCTAGGTAGCCGTTCAGGGAGGGACTGCAGGTTGTGGCAGCAAATAAATGTGATATCCCCGAGGGAGTCGACAAACAGAAGGGCCTCTTGCTCCTCTGTGAAGCTCTTCACCTTGTAATCCCCACAAATACTCAATACGGTGAGCGAGGAAAAGAGCAGGCTATGACGAATGGCCGCAGCAGTGAATCCAGACACATCATCTATGTCGAGCCTCTGCAGTTTTGAGGAACAGGATGGAATCTCCTGTTCGGAATCAACAAAAAAATTGGGGTTTCCTCGAACAAATAATTCTTTGAGATGGCCTTGGGCGAGGAGAGACCACAATCCCTCGCCTCTTAAATCCCCACATCGGTATATGGATAAACTTGTGAGAGCAGTGAGGTTTGATAGAGGCAGTTCAGCCCCCGTGCCGATCGCTCCTGAAATGTTAAGGTGTTCCAGGGAGTTGGGCAAGGGGAAAGAAGAAGAGAAGGATGAAGACGAGTATGAGGACAGGAGCTCGGGGCAATCCTCGATTTCCAGCCTTCGGAGGGAGCTTAGACCCCAGAGCCCTCCTCCTTGCCCAGTTCGTCCATCTTTGTTGCTGTCGTCATGTGGATTGGAGCCAAGGAGTCGCAGCTTTGGGCTGCCATGGATCTCCAGGTCCTGCAGTTGGGGAGGCAAAATCAATAGGCCATGTTCTGCTTCTTCTGATGCGACTATTACGTCGACATTTGCTCTTGCATCCTGCTGCTGATCCTCTTTGTTAGCTGAAGTTGTTGTTCCGGGCGTCTCTGTTGCGTGCTGTCCCCTCACATTCACAGCCAGCCCTGTTACCTTTGCACAGAACCACAGCTTCAGATCTGAGAGGTTTGGGAAGTAGACAAGTAGCTGTGTCAACTCTTTCCCACTAGCACTCCCCTCGCCCCTGATGGCCAGCGATTCAACTGGAAACTGGTATTTGACATGGCTGTCAGCTTCAACAAGTGGAAAGACATTACTCAGATAAGACATATGTAGGGTCCTTAGGGATGATAGTATTTGTAAGTAATGCAGTGGCAGAGATTGGCACCGGTACAGGTACAAGTCCTCTAGTCCAGTTAGATTATGAAAAGCTAGCACATCCCAAACCGTGCTATCATTTGTATCCTTATTATTTCCCTCAATGGTCAAATAACTATATTCTTTTCCATAAACCAATTTATCAAGAGATGAAATTCCTGTTATTTTAATGTAGCACGGAGCTTCAGTCCAAGGAATGGGTGCAAATGACAATAGTTGTGGACATCTCTTAATCTTGAGCTCCTTCAGTCTAGGAAATAAATTGTCATTTGCATCTTTCCCTTGTTGACAACAACCAGCAGAATGCGAAAACGACAATTCCACAAGTTGAGAGCAATCCCTAATGATAAGCACTTCCAAATAAGGAAACAATTGACAAGGGGCATGTACAGCCCACGTTTTCAACCCTGACAAGTGTATAAGTTCCAGCCTTCTCAAATTTCCAAACCTCTTCTCAGGGATATTGATTGAGATTTCCTCACGGGGCACATTTACTAACCACAAATCTCCAATAGGTGGAAATGTTTTCCAGTTTACATCATGTAGGCAGAGAGATTTCAGACTACTGAGTGAGAGGTTCATACTCAGCCATGAAGGGCAAGTGCCTCCTCTGTGCCCTATAATGGATAACTTTCGAAGATTGCGATTTGGCTTAAGCCTTTCAAGAACATGTTTTTGGAGTGCAAAATCATCGGCATGCCAATTAATATTCCAACGTAGTATCAACTCATGTAAGTGGCTTTTCAACATCAATTTTGCTTCATCTGCTTCTTCCGGTACATGAACTTTTTCAAGACTATCAATGCACAGTGATCCATGGAGCTCTTCCAAATGTCCTATCCGCCTTAATTCAAAACCTTGATGATCTTGTTTGACCACAAATCTTCTCAACTCTTGTAATGATTTTAGTTTCCCAACCTCGTTGATGCTAGAGTGTATTGTATCATCTTGAACAAGAAGATGGCGCAATTTTACAAGGTTGTTGACATCTCTTGGTAGATCTATGATGTCACAAAGTTGTTTTGCATCTAGGACCATCATGTGATGAAATCTAGAAATTTTATTGGGAAATCTGGCTTTATATTGAGAAGAACATTCAATCCAAGGTAGCGAAGATGGAGTAGACTATAAAAGTTCTTTGAACAAATATTCCAGATCATAGGATGCTTCGATAGAAAAATAACACGAAGGGCCTTTGCTTCCCTAAATAAATCACCAAAAGCCTTCACAAAGCAACCGTGGTGTTTCCCAAATATCATCAAAGTTTGCGTTTTCAACTTTTAATCTTGTGTGCAATGTATTGATATCCTCCACACAATTTTTTTGTGTCAATCTATTGTTGACACTGGTATCATCTATGTTGATAGACAAGTGGCGGATTGATGTCGGGATTTGTAAGGAGCTCACTTGAGATTGAGTGTCTATGCTAAGGCATTCAAGTGATGAAACTTTTCGTGCTAATTCATGTAAGAGATCATGAATGATGTAACAAGTTCTTCCATCCTTTTCCCCTTCATCTTCCAAAAATCCATAATTAACCAACTCAGTCAAATGACTTAGCCCGATATCTTCAACTCTTTTACTTTCACCATGTGGTGAATAATGCAAAGCTTCTTGTCCTATCCGAAGTTAATTAGCTCTTCTCCTTCAAATCAGTAATCTTGAGGAAACAAAGCACGATGGGAGAAAACATCTGCTGAAGCCGAGGACGTAAGTAATCAAAGCTCAACTTCAGTGCAGGCATAATGTCATTCTTACCGCTGCTATGCTCCCATTGCTTACTTTCTAAGACTCTAGTCCAGTGAACCAAGTCAAGTTGGGTTTTCAACAATCTACCAACAGTTTTTTGCTGCAAGAGGGAGCCCTTTAGTCTACCAAACTATCATAATCCCAATTTCAAGCAAGAATATATGGTCCTTTCTAGATTGATCATCATCACCAAAGATAATATTTAGGAGTAATTCCTCAAATGGTTCACTATCTAGACCTTGCAAATATATTGAATGATCATTTTCCGAACCATTATGTGTGCTTGTCTTTGGAAATCGAGTTGTGACTATAATTATATTACCCAAGACTTGTGATTTTCGGAATGGCTTTTGCAGACCGTTTCCATTCATCCTCATCACAACAGTCCCATATATCATCTAATACAAGCAAAAACCTCTTATTTTTCAATCTTTGCCCAATCAACTCACTAGCAGCACCATTACAACTTTCATGATCATCTTTAGGGATATATCTTTGAATCTCTTCTATCAGCTTATTCACATTAAAGTTGAGTGAGACACATGTCCAAACTTTTACATCAAAATGTTTTGCACCTCTCCTTGTGTGATATATATGTTGTGCTTGTGATTGTCTTTCCTATGCCCCCTGGACCAATAATTGGAATAACTGTGAGGACCTCACCAGAATGTTTACCCTTTGTGATATCATCTATGATGCTCTTCACCATAAGCTCCCTCCCATACAGTTTTGGCTCTATACTTTCAGAGATGGTGATGGGGCGACTTTGTGCAATGTTTGGGGCAGTGCTCCAGTTAGAACCTAATAGTTTAATAGCACTAGAGAACTTCTTTTCAATGAGCTGCATTTGCTCTACAATATGTTCTATTCTTCGGGAGGCATTGTCCCTATCAAATCTCAACTTTGGTGGTTCATCATGAACGGATGGCAACTCTGGTGAATTGTTGTCATCATCATCATAGTTATAGTTCTCGTTGTTGTTATCATCATCATCATCATCATCATCATCATCATCATCATATTCACCATCATTATCATCATCATCATCATCATCATATTCACCATTATCATCATCATCAACATCATAGTTATAGTTTTCATCATCATGAAAAGATGACTGAGGTGAGCAAGGGGACACATTAAGGTCCAGGTTGTGGGCGCAACCTTCGGCATGCTGGCTGGCGTCCAGCATGTCTTGGATGTGAAAGTATTCCATCTCGTCCACCACATCCTCAGCGTCATATACGAGGTCTTGAAGCATCATTAGAGCGGTGCTCAAGCATCGAGTTGTGTATCACCTTGCCGAGGGTGGACTCAAGAATCGCCTTTGACAGATAGCGACTCTATTTGGAGGGCCGTGGACGCCGGGCCAAGGTTGATGGTGGCTGCCCAGGTCCTTGAGCAGTTGTCCTCTAAGGAAGCCAACGCCTTGTGCGCCACCCAAAATGATGCATTTCGTGACCCTTGATAACAAAGCGAACCATCCACACTTTCCAAAACTGGCTCGCGTTGTGGTTGGAGTGGTGCAGCTGCTGATTTCATTATGCCTTTTGTGATCCACGCTGGTCGGTGATCCATCAAGCCGTCCTCACGCTGCACATCCGGTTGCAGTACCCCTTCCTGGGCTTCAATCTATGAATAATTATGCAAGAAACAGTTAGACTTACTGCACCTTAGCTTGTCACAGATATTAAAGGCCACAGAAATATACTTCCTGTGTTTCTTTTTCTAAGGCGGCATACTATATATGTGTATGGGGATTTCGAAAGTCAAGTAATATTATGTCCACCGCTTTTTTTAGAGTAAAGTCCGATTCACCCCTAAACTAGTACTGAATTTGAAAGACCACCTTACTTAAACTTCAATGTCAGATAAATACATATCTCAACTTTTAAAACCGGACAAAATACCCCTTGACCATTGCAAAGTGGGTTCTTTAGTGTTTTAGCTCTCTAATTATGAACATTTTTTATTTTTCCCATTTTTTTTAGTTCTCAGATGGAGAAATCCTCTATCCCTAATTTGTAGTGCTCAACATTTGAGATCATTTAGGAGTCCAAATGTTTAATAAAAGACGACATGGTTAAAAAACTAAATACATGTGCGGCCCACATGTCACATATGTGACACATGAACTAAAACCAACAAAGTGAGCCTGGTGGTATTAAGGTTCTTATTTTTTTCTTAGAAAGTTAACCTTCATGTGATTGGTATCTTAAGAAATAGTTGAGCTGCCGGTTTGCATCTATAACTAAAAAACAATGAAAATGAAATGTTATTTATGGATATTTCCCACACATTATCTGTCGGGTTTCACTAAAGAAACATATCATTCATTACAAGCATATCAAGTGATTTTTTTTTCTTAAAAAGTTAACCTTCATGTTGATTGGTATCTCAAGAAATAGTTGAGCTTCCACATTTGCATCTATAACTAAAAAATAATGAAAATGAAATGTTATTTATGGATATTTCCCACACATTATCTGTCGGTTTTCACTAAAGAAACATATCATTCATTACATGCATATCAAGTGATTTTTATTAAGAAAAAAGAACTAAGGCACATGCCATGACTATACCCAAAAAATAGCATATTCCAAAATTGTAGGACACTTTTCACGTCTAATATTGCAATAAAGTGCAGAAAGGGCCGCATACTCAATGGGATATAAGATACTCCCTCTGTCCCTAAATAAACAGATTCCTAGAGTTGTCTTAAGTAAAAAAATTTAAACTTTGACCGAATTTCTAAAAAAAACTGTCAAGATTTATCACATCAAATTATTATCACTAGATATACCATAGAATATATTTTCAAATTATTATCACTAGATATACCATAGAATATATTTTTATAATATGCTCATTTATTTCATAGATGTTGTTACTCTTTGCTATAAAGTTTAGTCAAACTTAAGATAGTTTAACTTGAACGGATTCTTGGAATTGATTTATTTGGAGATGGAGAGAGTATCATACCTGGTGATCTACCAGTAAATCTTCACCATTTTGAACACAACTTCCTTCTGCTGCATTAAGAATTTCAATTATATTTGATACATTTGGCCTTTTCTCCTTCTCAGGGTGCACACATTCCAAAGCTATGTTGATGCATTGTTTTACTAGCTGGGTATGTAGTTCTGGCGATGTATACTTCGATGATCTTTCGAATCTGTTCCTCCAATTACTGAGCACCTACACAATTGCATATATAATAAGTGAGCTAGAGCGATAGTACACATGCAGAATATTCGTTACTTCATCTTATTACTTTCTCTGTGAAGTGCTGGAAAACTTCGGTGCTTTGGCCATAGTCTGGATAGTCGTCCTTGCAGCCTTTGAGTATCTCTATAATTATGACACCCAAACTGAATATATCTGCTTTCTTTGAGATTACACCCCTGTCTATGTATTCTGGTGCCATGTATCCCCTGCAGTAGACATCAAGAGTTTGAGATGGTGCAAGCATAATTGAGACCATTAATATATTACTAAGAAAGCAAACGGTATTTGTTGTGGGGTGTAGCTTACCTGGTTCCGGGGATTTGCAGTTTTAGTGACAGTCTGGGATTTTGTTCACCCAACAACCTTGACAAATCAAAATCCGCAATTTTGGCATCATAGTAGCATCCATTAATATATTTTGAGGTTTAAGATCCAGATGAATAATATTATACCCATGAAGGAAATTCAAACCGTGGCAAATTCCCTTAATTATCTTGTATCTCGTGTTCCACTCAAGACCGGAAGATTCATCTGTAGAAATACTTTTTCTTGACATAATTAATCTTGTCATCCATGCTTAATAAGAAGAGCAATGAAACACATTTTGTGTGGTTGAGTAGCAGTAATAGTAATATCTAGTTTCTAGCTCGTCCAAAAAACAAAGTTATTCTAGTTAGATAGTCAATTTAAGTTTGACCAAATTTATAAAGAAGACTATCAACATTTATAACACCAAATAGAGATACTATCAAGATATATTTCATGATGGATCTTATTTAGTACTATAAATATTGAGGCAATATATTTATTTATTTATTTAAGATGTTTATTGTATACTATACTTGTTTAAATCTAAGATATTTGGACTCGAACTAGAACAACCTTTTTGGGTGCAGGTAACATATTTCAGTGTTCTGCTGATTGTGGCTACAAGGTGTGTTCTAACAATTTAAACTTGAGAAAATGAGAAAAAATAGGGAGATGATAAATGTATGTCCCTCATCCCGTGTTTCTGAAACGTACCTGAAAGATGCTTATCAAGGCCTTCATTACACATATACTCGAAGCAGAGAATTCTTGTCTGTTTATCGGCCAATAACATATTTCCCGTTCGGTAGCTTGATCATCTCTCCTTTGATTCTGAACAGTAACCTAGGAGTTGTGTTACATTTGGGTGTTTGATAAGAGAAGTGGCCACTTTCTGGAACTGTTCATCACCATTCACTACATGACTATCATGAAACTTCTTCACAGCAATAAATGAATCGCCATGGTAGAGAAGTCGTCCCTACATAGAGTAATTGTGATTAAATATGGCTGCCAACATTTTTATTTGTGAGTTGGAGCGAGAAAGAATTCATCATATTTACCTTGTAAACCACTCCGCACCCACCCCTCCCGAAGTTCTTGCTCATTGCTAAAATCATTTGTTATCGATCTCAAAAAGTGTAGGGGTAGAGAAATTGGTTCTTCTGTGGTCGGATCAAGAAGCTTGTTCTCCAACTCCAATATCTCACGGCTGTCCATTCCTATTTACGGAACCACGCTTTAGAGGGAAAATTATGTTTAATACTTGTGTTAAACAGAGATTGTTATTAGGGTATTCTGATTAATGATATGGGTGGCCTTTCATAAAAAAAATGATATGAGCGGCCCTGTGCTCTCCCAAAGATATATATTCTTTTTTCACAACATCCCAAAGATGTATATTACTTCGTCCGATCCGCTAAAACATTACTCGCTACATTCCAAATTATAAGACATTTTGACATTTCTAGATGCATTGCCTTTATTATGTATCTAGACATAGTGTATATCTAAGTGCATAGCAAACACCTATGTATCTAGAACCCGTGCACTCGGCAATATTGTAAAGTACAGCGAGGCCCACGAGTAGCGTAACCCTAGGCGGCGAATCTCGGCGACGCCGCAAGACGCCGCCGCGCAGCAAAGCCGCCCCACGCCCTCCTCCCCCTCCCTCGCCACACCGACACCCGCGACAACCAGCGCCGGTGAGCTTTCGTGGGATCTCGGCCGCCAAGCGCTGGCCGCCACCAATGAGCCCACCCTTGTGGGATCTCGCGACGAGCACCGCCCGCGACGATCGTCGACGTCGCCCCTTACCACGGCTGCCATCTCCATCTCCAATAGCTGCAGCAGCGCCATCCCCATCACGGTGGCCACCACCTCCTCTGCAGCGGGCGCCTCCCCACCCCACCGTGAGACGCGGATGACGCCAGACCCCACCGTGGCGCCACCACCTCTAGCAAAGCCCTCAGCAGCGCTGGCATTGGGCCTACCGTGACCGCCACGGGGCCGCACGTGCGGGCCAGATCCGACCCCTACATGCCGCCGCTGCCGGGCCGGACGGTGACCGTCGGCCGTGACGAGGACTGGGTAGGTGCAGCCACCTCCGGGGACGCTGTCCCATCATCCTGCCGCCGCGCCACCACGAGCCACCCCTAGCTCCCCCCTTTCACCGGACGCGGCTCCTTTCTACCCAGTCTAGGGTGGGTGATCCATACGCTGTTGGTGGGTGGACGACGGTGGCGACGAGTCCGACGACGACCACCGCACAACCTACCTGGACGTCGCTCGTCGCCCGACGAAGCGGCGGTCGGCGCATAACCGCAAGCGCCTGAGTTTGCCCTGTCGCGTTATGGGCCACAGTGGAGCCGACCACGCCGAAGGGACCTGGCCGGAGGTGGAGGAAGCGTAGCCGGCCGCGCCCATAGCTGCTGTGCGGCATGCCTGCTCGTCCCATGGATGGCCATGTCCCTGCCCGCCAACGCCTTGGCCACCGTGGACGGGTCTCCATCCCCAATGCCTATGGGTGGCTTGAAATCCTCCCCCAGCAGGAGACAGGACCCTACGGCCGCCTTGGTTGAGCCTCGCCGCGGTCCAAAGCAGCTTCCATAGGCCCAGAAGATCCCCGCAGAGCTTCATGGCAGATGCTTCAACTGCCTCTCCTAGTCGCACTGAGTAGCGACTTGCCAATTGTCGGCGTTGCTGTCTCGCCACAGCTTCCGTCACCTCGCTAGGGGACCGCAAGCGCCCATGCCCGCCGTGGTGGCAACCCAACGATCTCCTAGCACGCGCCCCATGGGCCTAACGCCTCCTAGCACGCACCCCACAACTCTCCACCGGCGCTTGGATGGGGCCGCGCAGGGTGTCGTGTGGAGTGCCGGCAGAGTCCGACGACGACACTGGCGACGCTAGAGCGAGATGACAGAGGACAGCAGCGTGGGTGCGCCTATCGACCATGACGACAGCGCTGCTACCTCTGATGCTGCACTTTGCTTCCCCTAGCTGGATCCGCTAGTGTTGGAGCTATGGGCGAGCGCGGGGCCTCCCGCGTGGGTCGACCCAATGCTAGAGGAGTTCGCTGCCTCGCTCGTCGTCTCCCAGCCTGCACTGCAGGACCAGGGTGCCCGCCTGCTACGGCCACCTCTTAGGAAGATGAAGCATCGTTGGTGGACAACCGTTCACCGGCGAAGGCTCTCTTGTGGACGATGGACTCACCTTCGTTGTCACCTGTGCAGCGGTCGCCACATGTCACGCCACCCTGGTAGGGACAACACGGTGTCGTGGTTACCGAGGCAAGCCCAGACTCCGGCGCCATCCCCCCAGGCGCCGACGTGGCAACCCCTCCCCGTCCGGCTGATAGCGGGAGCTCTGCCGCCAAGAGGCTCAAGCGCTTCACCGACAAGATCTTGCGTAAGGCGCCATCGCCGCTGCTCCCTTGGCCGATTGTGCAGGCACAACCAAAGTTGCCAACCCGTAGCAGGAGGATCGTCGCCTAGGCACTTTCACGCACGCGTCCCTGGTTCTAAGCCGGGAGAGGTGCTGATGATGAAGCGGATGGGGATCCTCGATCAATGTACGACCACGGCAGCCAAGAACGCCTACGATAGTATCTTCGTCGACCAGTTCAACCCCTCGCATGTAGAGGCAATGCGACAGCTCTTCCCTAATCCACAAGGAGAGCGGGTGAGGCGCCGGCGCCACGCAAGCAAGCGTGTCGATCGCCGATGCTGGTTAGGTAGCATGATTAGTGAGTAATAGCACATGATTTTCTTACGCTAGGGAGGCAGAATGGATTGTATAACACTTTGAAATGGAGGGAGTAACAAAGAACCAACTGTAATTAGGGCTGGAGCCAGCATTGAGGCAAGGTGCTGCTGACTAAAGCTGTCAGCCTTCAGTGTGACATGTTTTGGGTAACTACTAGCAGCAACAATAAGAAATGCATACATGGATTTACTTGTCAGGACCGGTGTTGCTAATTGCTAAGCACCCAGCCAAAAAAAAAACTTGTATGGTCAATCTTTTCTCTTTCGATGCTCTCGCATGCCATGTTTTTGTGGAGATAGGTCCATATGGTGCTAGAAATTAAACCACCTCAAAACGCCCAAAACTTATTTAATGTTTTGACCAAAACCTAAGATATGATGCCCTGACGTGCATTCCACCCGGGCAAGCTAGCGCTACTTCTACTTGGTATTTTTTTTTTTTCTGCAAACCCGTGAAATCCTGAGTGCCCAGTAGCTTCTGAAGCAGAGGGTTTATTTGGTTTTTTGTAGAGACATTGCAGCGTGTGGTTTTGCAGGTTCCACGATGTGTGCTCAAGTCATGTGGGCTTGTTTATTTAGCATCAATAAGGTAGTGTCCAGACTCCAGACAATGCCTAGACGATATATACTGCAGGTGCTTCTGTTTACTGGTGGATCGCGAAAACTAGCTATGTAAAAGATCTTGTTTACTCACTGTCTGGATTGGAGAAACGAGCGAGGTGAAGAATTTGATCGTTCCCAAGTAGTTTTGGCAACACAATTCACAATCGGTGCTAAGTCCAGCGAGACTAGCCGAGAGATCCCATGTTGCCCTCGATCTGTTGGTGTGCAGCCACTGGCCCGCCGGAACGGAAGATCTATCCGCGTATGTATATATATGATGCGTCTGCGGTCTGCATAGATCGAGGGAGATCGAAAAAGCACAACCACCATTAGCGGATCCCACCGATATAATGCAAAGCAAATATAGTACATGCTTACTCACCAATAAGCTGGAGGAAACAAGCTAAGCAAGAAAGGAAGAACAAGACGATGCCAGCGCCGGCGCGGATCGGACGATAGATGGATGGCGTCACGAGGAAGAAGTCGAGATTTCGGTGGAGGTGAGGTGTTTTTGTCGGCGGATCAACGTATATCCGAGTCACTGCCTGGATCGGAGAAACGAGCGAGCAGAACAATTTGATTGTTCCCAAGTAGTTTTGGGAACACACACTCGGTGCTAGCTCCAGGGACTAGCAACCGATAGATCCCATGTTGCTGTACGTTCGCAAGGAAGAAGAAACTATAATAAGGAACGACCCACCGGAACGGAAGATCTGTATATCCGAGTATGATGCATCTGGGTAGAGGGAGTGAAAACCACAACCACACCAACACAATTAGCGGAAGCCACCAATTGACCAATGCAAGCAATAGTAGCTGATGCTCCTATTGCCACAGCCACAGCCTACTGGATCAGGAAACTATCTAGCTAGTAGAATTACATGCTTATTACTCACCAACAAGCTGGAGAAATTAAACGTGCAGGTCCTGTCGATCCGCAAGCTAAGCAAGAAAGGAGGAACCACAAGACGATGCCAGCTCCTGCGCGGACGATGGATTGCTACGAGAAGTTGAGATTTTGGTGTCGAGGTGAGGTGGTTTTGTCGACGGGTCAACTATAGCATGCCATGGAGAGATTATTATTCAAGTAACCATGTGGCCTGTCAGCGTATTGTCCGGTAGCTAGCTGTTTCATAGTAGTATATTTCAGTATTATATAGTACGCATCGATCTATAAATATTTG